CTGGTGCATTGAAACCTCGAGAAGATCCGAAAGCTTTGGGTACCGCGAAGGTAAGATATTTTTTCTGCAAATTATTATAAAATCTATTTAAGAAATGCTTCTTGATGTTAAAATAATAATAATAAATTATTTTTATTTTACTCGGATAACAATAATTTATTTACAGGAATCATCTCTGCTCCAATCCGCAGATCCTTTTTACAAAAAATTCGCAGTAGATTGCTCACTGTCGCAAGTTTGTGTAGAGATGTTTCTACTCGGTTCACAGTATTCGGACGTCGCGACACTAAGTACGATGTGAAACGTCTTTTTTCCATAATTAACTAACAAGATACTAAATATAATTATTTCTTTTGGCTTGAAGGTTGTTGTCCGCGTTACACGGGAGGTAATACCTATTTTTATCCTGCATTCAATGCAGGAAGATCAGAGGACGCACTTAAATTTGCTCATGAATTTGCCGAGTTTTTGGCTAGTCCTATCGCGTTGGAGGCAGTGATACGTATCCGAGCTTCAAAGGGTAAAATCAAAATCGGAATTGTTATACTTGAAAAAATTAATAATTGGTAATCTTAAATTAGGTCTTCGCATGAATTCATTCTATGGAAACTTCTTTATTCGTCAAACGGATTTGCTCGCATTACCTAATGTGCCAAGAGATCATGCTTACACGGTTGAGGTTAGCATAGAGGAAAATATAACAACACCAACTGTGTGTTTTCAGACCGCTCTTTTGCACACAACTTGCTTTGGTAAGCATTTTGACATACAATTTCAATTTATCATTATTCTCATTACTAAATGTCACTTTTTACGTCAACAGGTGAACGCAGGATTCGAGTGCTGACATTAGCACTGCCGGTAACCAATAATCTGAATGAATTGTTTGCATCAGCCGACCAAGTAGCTATAATGTCGCTACTGGTACATAAAGGTAAATAATAATTTTTTTATTTATCACGCCTAGATAATACTTATTAACATTGGTTCTTATCTTGAAGCTACGGAACGATCACTATCATCGAAATTGGAGGACGCCCGTGACGCGTTGACAAACAAAATGGTAGATATATTGGGAGCGTACAAGTCAGCCGTCATCGGAAACCAGGCCGGAGCTTCACCTCATCTGCAAATTTGTAATAATCTTAAGCTACTTCCATTGTTATCTCTCGGGCTGCTGAAACATGTAAGTTTATTGTCAGATTCTTGTTTTCTAAAAATTTATACATTAAAAAAGGAATTTATTAAAGAAACTTTCTTAGGTTGGCCTTCGCTTGAGTTCACAAATTCCAACTGACTTACGATCTTATGCAATATGTCTATTAACAACAATGCCCTTACAACTATTGATTCCATACCTGCATCCACGATTTTATTCCCTTCATAATATGCCGCAAGAGGTATGGAATTTCACATTCTGTGTCTCGTGAGAATACACTTTATACATTAATTATGTTTGACATAATTATATTATTCGATTTAGCAAGTTCAAGCTATTACAGATTTTTCAACATAAAAATTTCATCAAATTTTTTGCATCATTAATTTTATATTATATTATCTTTTTATTTTAATAAGGTTGGATCGTATGGACCTGAAGGAATTATTATGCCTCAACCTTTGAACCTAAGTAGTGAAAAACTTGAGCGAAATGGTGCATACCTTTTGGAAGATGGTCAGAATATTTTTATTTGGCTCGGCCGACAAGTATCTCCCCAACTATGTGCTGATTTACTGAATGTCCACTCTTATGAGGAAGTTCGTTCAGGAAAGGTAGCTTCACTATTTCTTTACGTATATCGTTTATTAAATATAAGTGATTAAATAATACTAATTATCCCTTATCTGAATTCTTTTATGAAAGGCTACTCTACCACAACTCGATAATCCATTCTCTCAACGGGTAAATGTAATAATTGGTAAAACACGTGAATCGAGACGAGGAGTCTACTATCCTCATCTCTACATAGTAAAAGAAGACGGCGATCAATCGTTGCGGCTATGGTTTATGTCGCATATTATAGAGGATCGTACAGACACGGTGATGAGTTATCATCAATGGTTAGCGCATTTGAAAGATAAGGTAATTAATGGTATCTTTTGGCATTTCATTATTTTTTTATGTTAATTTAACTACTATTATTATTTCTTTTAACAGGTCAATTCGGGTTCATTCTAATCAATAGCACCAATAATGGAATTAGTTTGACGGTTATTATATTATTTTTTCTTTATTGAATATGGTTAGATGATTATTATTACTATTATTATTATATATTCTTTGAGCATTTTTGTTGAATAATAATTAGAAAAATTAAATTAAAGGTGAGAAGAGAAGACATTCATGCGAACTGTCAAGAGATGTAATAATAGGAAAATTTAAAAACTGTAGATATTACTATTAACTTCAAGGATACGCCTTTCATTCTTGTCGGCTTAAAAAAAACTTTTGATAAATAATAATACCCTTTACCATATTTAATATATTTTTGTTAAAATAAAGTTTTTCTTTAATTGAATAAAATACATAGTAAATCTTAAAATAATATATATTTAAAAAACATTGAGTATACTATATACAGTTTATTAATAAAATAGTTTTTTAAATTGGTTCAACTTTTCTTATTTATTTATAAAATATATTATATTTTAATTAATTAAAAGAAAAAAAAATCAATAAAAATAATTTAGAAAGAACTAGTTGAAATTATGTTATTTGGCAGCTGAATTATTGTCTCATTTGGCATTTTATTATTTTGACAATAAAGTAGCAATCAAAAATTTGGTAATCAAAAATTTGATAATTAAAAATTTGACAATCAAAAAATTCAGCAATCCAAAATTTAATCAATTTAATAAATTGTTAAAAAATTCATTAACAATTTGTCAAATAATTCATTAACTATTTAGCAAAAATTCATTAAAAGTTCATCATAAAATTATTTATTAACAATTTAATAAAAATTTGATATTAATTTATTAATAATTTATCAAAAATTTGTCAACCATTTATTAAAAATTTGACAATTATTTATCAAAACTATTCATTAAATATTTGTCAACTATTCATTAAAAATTTGACAACTATTTAGCAAAACTATTCATTAAAAATTCATTGACCATTTATTAAAAATTCGATAACTATTTATATATTATTTAATAAAAATTTATAAATTTGTAAAAAAAATCATTTATATTTATAAATTATTTAATATTATTTACATAATAATACATGATTAATAATATAAATTAAATATTATATATTATATTATAGTTTGTATTATTTATAATTTATAAATATAATCTTAATTTAAAAAAATTCATATATAA